CATGCCAATGCAGACGATATTTACGGTGGTGGGAAAATTTCATTAAAACCTGATATTTATGCATCTTTTTAATTTGAAGACCTTGCAGATATTTTGGCTAATTTATAGAAATTTCCCTCTCTTTAAGTATCCTTTCTAAAAATTAGAAATTTGTTTCAATACTCAAATAAGTATCCCCATTAGTTTCTGCTTGCTCTCCTAACTTGTCAACCTCTCGACAATGTAAAACTATGAGGTTTTACTCGATCTAGTAAAAGTTAAATAGTCGTAAACCCTCATAGAAATGTTTAAATACGGGTTCAAATAAACCTATTTATTTAACCAGAACTTGGAACATTCTTGCGCTAACAAAACCAACTACAGCTCCTGGTGATGTAATTAAACAGGAATATTCAAACTAAAAATGTGGGCTAGTAGTCAGACCACACAATTTACATTTAATCTAAGCTGGCTCAGTAACTCTTATCATCATAACAAATTCAAATGTTGGCAGCAATACGACAAAGATGAATGATTAGAAATTATCTGAGCTGGCAGGAACTAATTCATGCAAGCAGAAACACTACAATCCAGAAACCTCAGTTTAAATACTATAACTGATTTGCATTCTTTTGAGGTCACAGAGAGGAGAAAGTACAGTAAAGGCTGAAATTATAAACAACTTGTTAATTTACATCATAATAACTGTATATATCTCTGGAAAATATATTTTCTTTATGTATTTATTCAGTTTCGAATTCATTTTAGAACTTTTTGATTTAATTCAAGATTTGTTATTCTTTAAAGTGCATTAAAATGTACAGAAGAATTATTTCTTTAGTAATATGGACATTCCGAATAAATGATATAAGGTCAGTTACACAGCCAGAGTAGCAGAATTTTTTTAAATTTAGTGATGCACTGAGCAACAAAATCTAGAATGGCAAAACTTTTAGAATTCAGGACCCATAGAGATTGCATCAGGTGGGGAAGTGCCTAGTGCCAGCCCTGTGTACGAATGCATTGAGACATAGTATAATATGAATCTTTATAATGTCAGTTTTCAATTTTTTTATTAATAGAAAAATTCCTTTCTACAGATGCTTGTCCATATAATAAGACTAGAAGCATTTTTAAATATTTTTCATACTTGTGCCCAGTGCAAACTGGCAGAAAACAGTTCCATACTTGTGCCCAGTTTCTTTCACGGAAGTTAAGTACTTTTAAGGGCCATTAATGAAAAAAATTAAGGGCCTATGAGCAAATGGGAACTGAATAAATTCAATTAAAAATATTATCTATGCCTGAATTTCTAAAAATAAAATAGATCCTTAAGTAGTATGCATCATTATTAAACATGAATTAATATAATTGTTAATTAGTTTGAGAATTAAAATAAACATTATAGAATTTATCAAGTAGCATTAAATATTTTACACTAATAATAGTTGGACATGTTTGAAAGAAGATAAGTGAAATTTATATTTTACTAACAGTTAGCTTTATTTTTTTAAATTTTATTTATTTATTTATTTATTTTTGGTGTGTGTGTCTCATTTTGTCACATACTTGGTCAGTCTAGAGGTTTGGTAAATAGCAGGTAGATTTTGTCAAACAGCACAGATTAAAATGAGAAATAAAATCATCACCAAAATGAAATACATATGGTAAGACTAATGTTGTCACCGCTGCTGCTTGTCAAGAGAGAGACCTGCTGATTAGAACAAACCTGATGAAGGCACGGTTGGAAAGTGTTGAAGGTTAGTCAGGCTCTGTTTGATACAGTAGTGTCCTAGCTTCATGTAGAGTCCCAGGGGTTGTAACCCAGTTAATATACTTTAAGGTTCCAATAAGCCATTGAAGCACCAGAGGTGATAAGTTGTTTTGTATTATTTTAAGTCTCACTAGATGCAAAGAATAAGTTTTACTTAAATTTTTACATTTTATCTTGTGACCACAGTGAATATTAATGAAGGGCAATAACTCGCTTTAATATGAAGAGATGATTTTTAAGGGTAAGCAGTTAGTTATAAATAATTAAATTAGGTAATTAGATAATCTTAGTCATTATGGATTTACATGGCCACTACTGAATTTTATTTTTTAACAATTTTTGTTAAAAAAGACCTATTAAAATCAAAATCTTCAGAGTTTAAAATACATGTAATTTATGACATTGACTCTTAAACAATATTAGGACACATTAAAAGCTACAAAACATTTATGTTTTGTAACAACAACACTCAACAAAGTGTTTGTCCGTCATTTTAATTTGAAGCCTTCAAAAACATTTTAATTAGTTTATAATCATTTTCCTTCTCTTTTCTAACATTTAGAGATTTGTCTCGACATGCAAACCAGTGTTCTTGCTAAATTTCGGATTGCTTTATCTCCTAACTTGTCAACCTCTCCACAATATACCTATGAGGGTTTACTTGATCTGGGAAGAGTTAAATGGTCCAAAACTCCCCCGACAGACATTAAGCAAATTATCGCTATGTCTGAAAGTAACTTCAATATCAGACAAAGGTTTAAATAAGCCTCTTATTTAAAAAGAACTTAGAACATAAAGGCACATTCTGATCCTAACAAAATCAATTATAGTTCACAGTGACGTAATTAAACAAGAACAGTTAAACTCAAACTAAAAATGTGGACTAATGGTCAATTTAATCTGGCTCTATCATAAGAGGAAATAGAAATGGGAAGTTATAGTAAAGGCTGAAATCATAAACAAATGGGTAATTTAAATAATAATAACTACACATATCTTTGAAGAATAATTTTTTTTATATTCAGTTTGTTTCTTCAACATATTTCCTTTTCATTTGAGAATTTAAGGATTTATGTTATTCTAAAAAACACTAAATGCATTTACAATGTATAGAAAAAGCAGCTAATTTTATTTCTTTAGTAATATGAACATTTAGAAGAAATATGAAATACATATGGTAAAGGCCGGTTACAGAGCTGGTGTGGCAGAATTTTTAGAATTTAGTGACACACCATAAAACAATCTAGAAATGGCAAAACTTTTAAAATTTAGAGCAGGCATTGGAAGCAGAATTTAGATAGGCAATAGGCAGCAGAATTTAGGATACACAAAGATTGCATCAGGTGGGAAAATGCATAGCACCAGCTCTGTGTACGATGCATTTAGACATATTAGATGAATCTTTTAAATTGTAAGTTTTCAATTTCTTTACTAATAAAAAATCTCTTTCTATAATACATGCCCATGTGATAAATTTAGAAGTATTTCTGAAATTTTCCACACTTGTGTCTAGTGAAAAGTACAGAAAATAAAGGGAAGATAAACATGTTTAGAAAAAGATTCTAGTGTCAGGAGTAAAACATTCAAATATTATGTTTTCATTGTTCTTCCAGATGTTCTCCAAAAAGTAGGAAATTCATTGCAAACTTTCTGTAAAATACATTCACTACTTGTTGATACCATGGAGACATTTTTTATTATGTCACATATTTCACGAATCTTCTAGAATCGTGGGTCTATACATCTTGCCTTCAGATCTTTCTAAACTTTCCAAGCTGCAATGCCTAAAATACTAAAGAAAAATTATCCTTACCAATTCTGTAACAGCAAAAAGCCAGAAATATTTGGAAGGAAAAAAAAAAAAAAAAAAAAAAAGGGAGGGAAAAAATGTAAAATTAATTTTATAGAGAAAACTGATGCATATTCTGAGAATTTTGAACATTCTGAGACAATTACATGGGAAAAACTATGAAAAAATTAAAAACACATTTTTAATTAATTGCATAGCTAATTTTGCTTTTGCTAAGAGGTATTTCGTAAATTGTGCTTTATAGCATTAAACCTTGTTTATTTTTCAGATTCAAAATATTGCATAATAAGTTGCCAAAAGGAAACTTTATAATATGACAGCGAAAAATAAAAATGTTTTATTTTAATGTTATTTTTTAAATATAATTTCAAAATATTAGTGTTGCGATGTTTAAAAAAAAATCGTCGAAAAATTCTCAGATCTCGGAATTAAAAATTTTCTATAGAAACTGATCTTAAAATCGCCAAAATGTTGATAAGTCGCCAAATTTAGAACTGTTTAATAAAAGCATTCACATCCCCAAAAGCAAAAAGTTGTTTAAGAGCTGTTTATTAGAAAAAATGAATCAGTGAATCACCAAAAATATTCCTCTAAAATGCAATTTCACACTCAAAATGGCAGTCTTAAATAAACAGAAATTTCAGATGATTAAAATTAAGGACCTTCTGCTCATTTTGGCCAAAATTAAGGACTTTTAAGGACCAAAATCGATTCCAAAAAATATAAGGATTTTTAAGGACCGTACAAGCCTTGGGTTAGTAAGAGAATTCAAAATATGATTGAGACCAGATGAACTGTATTATAGGCACTGAAAAATAAGAGGAAAATTCTGTGAATTTCCAACTAGATTTTTCTTATTTATATAACCTTAATACTACTGAATTATAAATATAACTGCTGCTCATAAATATGATACTCTAATATATTATATATAAGTATGTTGCTCTAATATGGATTACCTCTGGCACAATGTGCATAATGCCCATATGATTAGGTTCAGGATTATGTTTTCGAAATGAACATATATCAATGATTTCTGATAACTCACTTTTCTTGTAAGTCAAACGCAGTGTCAAAAACCCATGCACAGTGCAGAAGAACAAATTATCTGAGACATTTTACATACATACAATTTTGCAATTCAGCAACTGGCAATGACTGAATTGGAGAAATTTTTTAAAACATATCTATTGTGAAGTTATAAAACACTCTCTGTCACAACTAGTAACCAGAAAATTCACGGCAAGTCAGTTACTATATGCAGCAAGCGCCAGATATTTTTACTATTTTGTGTTCAGAAATTTGTATGATAAATAATTCAGATAAATACTTCAGAAATATGAATTCAAAAAATTTTATTTTTATAGTACATGGCAGTTTGACAAAAATATTTGATTGATTCACAAATGCAGTTTATTTGTACTTTAATAACAAACAGTAAATCCAAAGAGAAACATTTTAAATTCTTCCATCACTGATGAAAAATCTGAATTAAGAAATAACAAAGTTTTAGAAAATCAATCAATTTATGGATTACAAAATCTATAAAGTGCTATGTTTAAAAAAACAACAGCTTACCAAAATACGCCCCCCCCCATTCAAAACAAAACGGTATGTATGATATGAATTGCACTGTACATAAACACTTTGTGAAAATGATCAACTGGGAAAAATTGCACTCTTTACTGGCCTGTAAACGCATTTAATTAAATTTTGAGAAAATCAACAATTTTCACTTCTTAATATGCAATTAAAAGAAAGGCTCAACTAGCACAGTCCTCAGCAAAACATGAGGTAGAAATTAATGATATGATTGATGAAAGACTAATTACTGCTTAATTTTAGACAAGTGTAATACATAGCATAAAAATTAAGACATTGTTCTTTTACAAGTTAGTAATGAAATTTAGCACCAAGTAAACACTGGAGTAGCAAAGACTAGATGATCCCAAAAAAAGGAACTAGGATAAAAGATCATTAATGAAATATCCCAAAGAATGAAATTCATTCTTCTACAGCTGTAACTAATCTTTGGCATTAATTGCAAACTTAATCTAATTGATATACTAAGAACTGCATATGATTTTAAGCTTGATGGAGAAACAATTTCCTTTAGGCCATCAATATCACGTTCATCAAAAAAGAATTTATTAAAATTGATTAACAAAAATGTTTCTCCAACAAGTATCAAAAATAAACTTTTCATAAATATATTTTCTTTACAAAAAGTGACCAGTAGCATGATCATATAAACTTTTGTACTAACTAAACATTGGCATTTTACTCATTCAAAACTTTGTTCATCATATCCATATGAAAATGTCCTCTTGCATCGTATCCTTGACACATCATTCCTCACACAAGCTCCATAAATTATATCAATACTCAAATTAGGTAACTTAATTGCACATCCAGTATAAAAAATTCACTTTCCATATTAGAATCACATCAAGAAACAAACGAAAACCAGGTCTCAGTCAAGATGTTCTTTATATTTTGAAAGTTCCTGCATTGTGAATTGGATGTCAGTTTTGAACAGGTGGTAAAGACTGCTGAGACATCCTCCTTCGTTGCTGGTAACTGTTACTTTTGTATAAGAGGGCTCGTATCTGTCGCTGAGCAGCCTGCAATTGATATGAATAAATATTCACTTAGCAGAAGAAAACCTTAATCTAATGTAACAACTAATTTCATTTAAAAGAATGCTATTATATAACTACACATAGCAGATAAATTCTGACCATCACAGGAATGATTTCTGAGAAACTAATCACAAGGTTAATATATATACGTGCATGATCTTTGTGTATAAGTTTAACAAAGGAATACATTACTTATGACTCACAAATTTTATGAAATCTAGCTAACTCAAAATTTTACAATGCATATATCAACTGACAGATATTATTCAAAAAACTTGGTTTATCCAGTTAAAATATTCACAAAATTATGGTCCTCGTCTTCAGTGGTCGCCTTGACGAGAGAAAACTGCACTGGCGTTATTTGGGATTAAGAAAGTGCAATCTGTTGCCAAATGTTTTATAAGCATGTATGAAAATGCATTGTACATAAACAATAACTCATTCAATATTTATACAACACAAGTTGTTTAATATAAATGTACAAAAGTAATTTAATTCCACACATAATTTTATTCCTGGATAATTAATTCTTAGGACACATTCTCTTTCATTTCATATCACCATTGTGGGTGTGCTATGTACACTACAATTTTATACAGATTATATTTTTAGAACAATGGACAATAGCTAGCAGAATGTACGCAATATATCAGTGAGCAAATTAACATTTTAACAGCAACAGAGCTGAAGTAAAAGTGCACAGATATTCAACATGGAAGCTCGCAAAGAGAAGGTTTCGGTTCAAGTTGCTAATTAAGACAAAGCTTCAGTTCTCAAAATTTTGAGTTCAAGTTTCGAATTAGCTATGTCATCAGCATTGTGCAGTGTAGAAAAGGCATTACTAGTTTATATTATAATTTTGATTCACTTATTTTTTACCTTACATATATGTCAATTATCATATTAAATACAATTACATAAGCAACATATTAAAACATATATAAAATACCAGAAATTTTTTGCAAACTCTGATTTCCATTGTTGAGCAATTACTACTAAGAAAGCCTCAAACATCAAATAAAACGTTTTCAGCTGATGGAAGATTGAAAATTATAAAAGGCCAGTTAGATAACTAATAATTTCAGATTGTCTCTTGCATACGTACAGATTGGTAATTGTTTCAACTGTTAAAGAAGACAGGTACACTGCGTGGGGGAAAAGAGGGGACAGTTCTATATCTACTGTTCTAATCGGCCGATTGACACTCTAATTGAATTTTTTCTTGTCTCGAAAGCACAACTTAGGATATATATTGGGGGGGGGAATCACACGATCTCCCTCATCTCTTCCCTTACCACCAACCTCTTAAGAGGACTTTTGGTTTACTGCATATTTAGAGTGCCCCCATATTACACAGACACTATACATTTACATACTTCTCTCCAGGATTCGAACTCAGGCTTTTGGTACAGCAGTTAGAGTCGCTAAATACTACTCTGGTTGAGTAGCTACACTCAACATTTCTTCCCATAAAAACAGAATTGATAAAGAATTCTTTTGTAGCTGGATTAGAAATGAAGTACTTACATTTTCAAAATGTAATATACTGTAAATTAGCACAACAATTGATGAAGACATCTGATTGTCTCAGTAATGCTTTTTTGAAATGGCTCATTACATAAGACAATAATGCTACAAAGAAAAGATCATGGGTTGAACTTAAATAACCTCCTTCAGTAACAACAAAAATGAAGCATCCTAAAAGAGTAACATAAAGGAACTGGACTACCAGAATCGACAGTAAAATTAGAAAAATACTGCTCCCAAACAGCAGTTTTAAAAGTAGAAATCGAAGCAAAGCGCCCAGAATTGACCATCTTCAAAGTGATGTCTCATCAAGATAATGCTCGGACACGACAATATGACAAAAGTCAGACAAAAACTTACTGCAGTGTTCACTAGACTTTGCCATTTCAGATTTTCATCTCTTCAGCTGACTTCAAAATTCTCTGAACAGCCTGGGGTTCATTTCTTTACACATAAGCTCAATGCCTTGTTTAAAAAATAATTTCTCAGTTGCTAGAGAGATGGCAAAATGCCACAAAACAGAATGTTGCTTACATAATTCAATGGAATTTTCTTATGTTTCAGTACTGCTATATTTGTAACTGCAGAACTTTCTGGACGACCCAATATTAAGCGATTTAGGCTTCAACATAAAACTCTTAAAAAAAAAAAAAAAAAAAAAAAGAGAGAGAGAGGGGGAGGGCCAATTGAAAAGAAGACTATTCAAAAAGATGTGATGAAACTCCATCATATATAAACACAGCATAGAGATTGAAAAGGCGATTAAAAGTACTGATGTACTGAAGAGAAATTGAAGCAATTGATGTTAATGCACAAAGTATCAACTCTTCAAATTCATTAATAGTGTATTGATGGCTAGTTTTTCATCTGTGAAAGGCTTAAAAAATTTCAACAATTTTAGATTCATAATATCTGAATTTTGAGGGTACAGCTTTAATGCTGAAGGTTAAAAATTTGCTTGATTGCATACATTAATATCTAAACTTCAATGCAGCACTGAATTTTTAAAAAAAAAACTTTTTCATCTTAAGTTATAATTTTCACCATTTCAGATTTAACCTTAATGACACTAATATGCAACAGCACAGAGCAGAACATACTACACAAACTTCAGATATAAAGCAGTTTATAAAAAAGACTTTTTTTTTATACAAAAAATCTAACCTGTGTGCAGTAAAAATCACCAATAATGTGGACGGCAGTTTCTTCAGTTTCAGGACGCTGGCCATCTTCAGGGAATTTTATTAATGCATGAGTGATTCTCTGTAATTCTCTAACCTGTAATCGATACCAACATAAATCAGCAAATTTAAGAAAGACAACACAACTCATCTTGTTTGAAGCTATCCATAAAAAGGCTATTAAATGCTTTGCGTTCAATAATAATAGCACATATCTGAATATTTAAAATTATTTAAATTTCATATAAATTAAGACAATTTTTCAGAAAACTGGATATACACTACCCAAAATTAAAAATGCAACATAAAGAAGGAGTGGCCTGAAAATTATGCAAATTTCAGGGTAGATACATGTCACCGAGTTATGCAAATGATGTGAAATGCACAGCTCTCCAGCGCACGTTGAAGAAGATACAAGGGCTGGAACCTACAGAATGTTAATTTTTATTGCCATTATTTCTGCAAGGAAATTCATAAAAAAAAAAAAAAAAAAAAAAAAAAAAGAGCAGAGAATGCCACGCCATTGTCAATGCAGACAGATGATTTTACGAAGGATGTGGTCATCGGACTGAGATAGGCAGGTTGGTCCATATGGCAAATCTCAGCTGATACAAACCAGGACGCGTCCAAAATGCATTGGCTGTAGCGACGATGGTTGGAATAAGGGAGTGTGGCAAGTTTGAGGGGTTATGTTAGTGAATTGACACATCTGGGGTCAAGCGGTGGCGCACCTGCAAACCACTTCTACCTCCATTCTATAGCATGTTGAAAGACACCCTGGATGTTTCCATTATCAACCAGAATCATTTGCCATCGATTGGTTGCTAGTGGCCTGCACTCATGGCATCCATTAAGAAGACTGCCATTAACCCCACATCATAAATGAAAACGTCTGCGATGGTGCCGGGTTCTAGCGATGTGGACGACGGAATGGCACAGTGTCGAATCCTGAGATGAGTCACGCCTCTGTTTCTCCAATGATAGTTGCTGCGTACAAGTGTGGCACTGATGTATAGGTAGGTCCAATCCGGCAGCAATTGTGGAACACGACAATGCGGCATCATGGGTTGGGGTGCTATTGCGTACAATTTCAGTTCACCTCCAATTCATATTCAGAGCACTATGACCGCCCAACGATATGAGGATGATGTGCTGCAGACTGTGACACTTCACTACTATTAGGCAGTGCCCAATGCCCTTTATCAGCAGGATAATGCCTGACCAAATGCTGCTCACATCAGACAATGTACTCTGAAAGGTGTACAGATGCTTTCCTGGCTACTGTTCTCTCTTGATCTCTCACCAATCGAACACACTTGGGATGTGATTGGATGCCATTTGCAGACACTGCCATTGCCATGCTCAGAAGATGGTTGACAGTAAATGGAAAGCCATTTCTAAGGACATCACCCGGTAGCCTCATTGACTCTGTACATAGACGTATTGCTTAGTGTATTACCGTGCAAGGTGTTTCTACAACTTACTAAGCAGATTTCTCGCTCTATAATAAGTACAGTACAAAGTCCATAATTCGGACTCGTCGGGATTTCGATTCCAGATTATAGATCATCAATTTAAATCTGGTAAGATGGCATGCAGAAATTATACTATTAAAAATATGAAACCATAATTTATGAAATAAAAAGCAATTATGATCTAAAGGGTATCAAATTTTACAAAAAAAAAAAAAAAAAAAAAAAAAAAAAAAAAAAAAAGCAGCTTAATATTTATTTGTCTATTTCGTGAAACATTTCTTTCAACGCGTGCATGCGTAAAGTTTGTGGCTTTGAGGTTCGGATTATAGATCATCCCAGATAATGGACATCCGGATTACGGACTTTGTACTGTATATTATTTCAAAATAAAATTCACTTGTTCGTTTGTCTCTCTCTGTTTGCAGAGTTTCTTTGCGTTCTGGCCACTCATTCTTTGTGTTGTACTTTTAGTGTTGGGTAGTGTATTACCTTTAATGATAAAATCATATCTACCAAACCTTTTCGTGTCAAGAAGATACTTAACATGTAAAATATGAAAATCATAGCTATTTTGAATATCTTTTGTTTCTCTATGGCATTTTTACTAGCTTGTAACTAGGCATGCACAGATGTATAAAATTGACTATTCAGCTTCATATCTCATAAGAATAGCATTATTAATATCATGGTAAAAACAATGGATTTGATTGATATGAATTATAGCAGGACAACACTTAGATACACTAGGCAACAAAATTCTTACTCGTAAAGAAATGAACCTATATATTAGTACAGAAAAATACCGAAAATTCGCCAACCTGAAATCCGCGTTGGGTTTCAAAATATAAACATTCAGTTTATAGGTTCCGGAAACTGCAACATTGAGTACGAAATATCAAAGAAAAAATACTTACTGAATAATTACTTACAGAAATACCAAATTATTGGCATCATGATAAAAGTTTTTCCCTCCTCTAATCTGCATCGAGGTAAGAAAGCAGACATTCACTCAACTCTTCTTTCAAGGTTACGATTCACGTTGTTGTATTTTCTGAGCTTTATCTCACGAGATTATTTAGTGCTGCCTTTTTTTTAATCCGGATATTTTTTGGATAAATTAAGAATATATTAAATTTCACCCCTTTTTAATACAATTATAGATAAGAAACGCACTCATGATTTTATTGCTCGCAACGTTGAAAAATGTAAACATGTTGCACTGACGGTAATGCAAAAAGTGCAAATTCTGCAAAAGATGGAGACAGATGCATTTTATAGCAGAATCGTATGGAATTGCGATACGATTGTGTATGATATACGGAAAAATAAAGAAAGTCTGATGAAATTTTACAGCAACAGTGACTCTAACACTGGAATCCAAAACTTTGCATGAGGCGAAATCGGCAAACCTTGATGCTGTGTATATATAATCCAATGAATAATATAATCAATTTATATATGTAATAATAATTTAATGCATATAAGTTATTGCAATAATGTATATAATAATTTAATTAAATGTATCTAATATGCCTTACTTTGCACTTTTAGTCTGAATATTACGATTTATCTTTTCTATACTGAAATCCACAAAACCCTAAAATCCGCACAACCTCTGGTTCCAAGCTTTGTGGATTTTTGGACTTCTATTGTACTTATTTAGTTGTCATATGACATACTCTAAGCATAAATTACAGCACCTTTTAAATTAGATAACTTCTTTTATCTCTACCTCACAATGTACAATTTAAGTTCTTTTCCTGGTTTCATCAGAAGAGAAAATCTAAATTTAATATTTCATAAAATAAACATGCAATATATGCACAGACTGATTTATACTACTTTTCAGTTTATGTTATATTTTGCTACACAATTTGTTAGCAATATCATATTTACTAGGAATAATTCTGTAGCCTTGTTTCTGCTAATATATATGAAAATAAACCCATCATAAATATTTAAAGGTAAAATATTTTACACTTTTCTCCTCTAATCCATCATTCTAAAAACAAGAGAAGCAAAATATGATTTTAACCCCTTGCACTAGGGGCCTTTTTCGTGCGACACACCAGCAACTCTAGACGTTTCGCAGTCTTTTTGCCTCATTTCTTACCAGTAACTTAAAATTACACACACTAATTAATGTACAAAATTTTTATATTTTAACATTTTATATATCTTTACACCTTTATAAAAACAATTTCTTAAATATTAGTCTCTAATTTTTCTGTGTATGATATTTCATGTAACAAAAGCTGCATGCCTGGCTTGTCAGGGCAAGTATTACAATAATATGCCATTTGATGTCTTTCCGGGTTCGTTTCTCTGAGAACAGACTGTGTGATAGATAAGAAAATCTTATCTCCATTTAAAGGGGTATCATTTTACACTTCATAAGATTAAACAGAAAGAGCGTAGGAACCTGCTTCAAAAAAATTAAATGTAAACAGTTATTGTTCCGCATCAAAACAAGTGGTGAGCGAGATTCACCTCTAGAGTTGTGGCATCAAATTACATAGTGAGTGAGCATCATTTCTTGAATTACGGCATCAAATAACAAGGTGAATGAGAGTCACCTCTCGAGTGCAAAGGGTTAAACGGAATCAAATGCACAAACCTAATGGCACTCTTAAAAGTTTTACTGACAATTCATGTCATTTATTTAAATTACTGATAACCTTTCCGCAATATAGTTTCTAATTTTATTAAAAAAAGATACAACAGTAAGAGTTAGGGATTAAAAGTACCTATTTTCAGTAAAAAAAAAAAAAAAAAAAAAAAACCAGTAAAGATTGTTTTGATAAAATCACAACAATGGATATATAACAATGTACTAAAAGTAAAATAAGCATTTTCATCATCAAAATATCAATTTTACAAAAATGATATATAAATTTCTACAGAATATTTTCCTGTAATTCAATTATGATAGAAGTTTTTTTTTAAAAAAAATATCTTCCTTTTTTTTTCAAGCTTTAAATTTTGACTAAGATAAAAAGATACAACAGTACAAGTTAGGGATTAAAAGTACCTATTTTCAGTTTACATACACTAAGCTTCCTCTACTGCATTTTGCATTTATTTTAACATTTTCTTCCATCTTCAGAAAACTGAATTACTGTTTCAAACACAGTATCTCTTTTAAGCTTTCATTAACTCTGGAATAAAATAGAAATTCTCTAAGAATATCAAATTGTTAGAATGAAGATAAACCCATCTGAGGAACAATATTTTGAAGCTGCAGAAGATCTGCAATAATTTTGCTGAGTAAGCAAAATGGACTCTAAGCCACTTAATGTTAGAGGATGCACAGTAGCTTGATTATATTTTCACTGGATTCCTACAGTGGAAGAGAAACAATGTTTTCCACTTTTCTCCCATGTCCCATGCAGTTGCTAAATATGGCATTTTAGGATGATGGCTGAACAGGCAATCAATTTATTGTCTCATCTCTGGAATGCTGTCATGGGTGAAGCAACAAGTATTACAATTGGGAAAAAGATTCAGCACAAATATCTGGAGTTTTGATAACTATAGTACAATGGAATATTCAGAAAAACATTTCAAAACTTTCTACTGCAAAATTTTGTTTCATAAAGAGCACTCAAATAGGGATGATAAAGAATAGAATTATCTGATCATGATAAAGCAAATTAGGGTTATCTGGTACTAAGCCTTTTCCAGTCTGGAGCAATCTCTGTTTGTCCCAAGTTCTACTGCCTATTGCTTCCCTAAATTATAAAAGTTTTGCTGCTTACTACCTCCCCTAAAAGTTTTGCCATCTGTAAATTTGTCTGTTTGGTGCTTCTCTAAATTCTCAAAATGCGGTGAGGTGACACTGGTTGCCACTTCTGCTAGGAAAAGACATCTTGATGGGGAGAGATATTTTTAAGTAATGTTAAAAAATATAAAACAATACTTCACATGTATTGCATTTACAAATGTAGGTGAAGACATGTAATGGTAAACTAAAGGACAACATATGTACCAATACAAAACTTGTAAAATTAAATCCTTCTTTGATCAGTATATAATTATATGAAGTATCAGAAGAATACAGGAACTTACTGTTTGACCACCTTTGCCAATGATACGTCCTACTTGATCTGTTGGAACAGTCATTTCAACTTTTAATGTAGCCTCTTGAGATGCAGGATAACCTTCAAAACTTACTTTCCGGAATATCATAAACTGGGCCTGGGGAGAAAATATATAAATTGAAATATGCAGGTAGCCTTCGACTTACAATGACCAAGCCATAAATTAGACACCTAATTTATTCTTTAATCTTTTCATATTTTGATAAATTAAGTTTTCATGTTACATAAAATAAGCTTGGGAAAGTATAAACCTATACTATACTTATAATTCATTTGTACACATATATGCTGCATAAATACATTATTAAAAAAAATCAATACATTCTCTTCCTTTTTTTGTTAACATGAAAAATATATGGCCTTTATATTTTTGTTATCACGACAATGTTGTCTGTTTGGTTATTTCATAACAGTATCTGTTTCTCAAACTTGCTTTTCAACACTGATGAAATAAATGACCAGTACGCAGATTTAATTTAGGAATAGTTTAAATAATTTTCTAGTAAACTGTTCTGATGATGAAAGATATTTGATATGTCCAGAGTATTCTACTATATACAACAAGCAAATACAGGTGAAACCCATAATAGCAAACTTCAAAGGATCAAAAACTTGGTTCGCTGTAACTGATCTGATAAAAATGGATAGCTTTATAAAATAGCACAAAAATCTGCGACAAAGATAAGTTCATGTGTGTGGTCCCCCACAGGTTGCAGTGTTCAACCTGTTATGAGGTAAATCCAGAAAGTAAGTTTCCCTATGCTTTTCCCTTTAAAGTAAACATAATTAGCCATGTCAATTGCACATACGTGACAGATCAATGATATATCACTCGCATGGCAGCTGGACAGCTCTCGCCTCGTGCCAGTAGTGGTCCGAAATGGAAGCTCTTATTCCTTCTCCCACCGCCTGCTAGGTTCGGTTGGTGATAAAGTTCTTGAATGCACAAAGCATTGCGCCAATTGAAATTCAATATCAGCTCTATGTCACTAAGCACCTGCTGTTCAAAAAAATTGTGTGCCAGGTAGGTGGCGAAAAACCTGGCACTTGAGAACACAAAATTGAACACTTAAGAGCAGCACTGACATTTCTGCAACAGTATCACGATGACAGCGACGAGTTCATCGATAGGATTGTCATGGGCGATGAGACTTGGATATCGCACTTCACCCGGAAACCAAGCAGCAGTCGATGCATTGTCGGCATAGAGGATCTCCGGTCAGGACGAATTTCAAACACACGCTGTCGGTACGGAAAGTGATATGCACAGTGTTCTGGGACAGGAAGGGCATTCTGCTCATTAGGTTTCTTCCACATGGTGAAACAGTAAACACCGACTGTTATTGTGAAACACTGCAGAAATTACAACATACCATTCAAAACAAGAGGTGTGGAATGCTTACTGCAGGTGTTGTGCTCCTCCATGACATGACAATGCTCATCCACATATGGCTCAACACACAGCAGCTGTTTTGACGGAATTTGGCTGCGAGTTGTTTGATCATCCACTTTACAGCCCAGATCTTGCTCCCAGCGATTTTCACGTTTTCTTGAACCTCAAGAAATTCCTGTCCTCCGGTGAGCATTTAGGCAATGACGAAGAGCTGAAGACGCCTGTCACAAGCTGGTTCCATTCACACGTGACAGAGTTCTAAGACAGAGGGATACAAAAATTGATCCCACAGTATGACAAGTGTCTCAATTCTGGTGGTGGCTATGTTGAAAAATAGCTGTACTTGTTGCCAATTAATATGTTTCTGAAAATACTAGGGATACTTACTTTCTGGATGCCCTACGTAAGAGAAGACAGGCTCCCAACATTGCAGAAGCAATAAGTTGTTCAAGTACGGTTCCACTCGACATTACAAGAATCGTAACTTCATAGGTAACGTCAAGGGTTTTTTTACCAATATGCATTCTGTTTGTCACCAAAGTCTCACAGTTTCAGGAAGGCTGATGGACCAATAATCCTGCTATTTTTCTGATATTTCAACTACAGTGAATCGGAGAATGTAAAATAGAACCAAAAAATTAAGAAGGCATGACTAATTCAGCCTGCAAACTGTTTTAGACAAGGCAAGAACTCAGAATGCTTCTAAATTCCCTCCTAGAAGATTCTTCCCCTAGCAAGATCCTTACATAATGAGGACAATAACTTACAATAACTGTTCCCATGCCTTTAATGCTGTTATATACTGTTAATGGAATTTCTCATATATTTATATTAAATGCATTTTAGTTCTATATGCAGTACATAATATGCAACCAACACCAGTTATCAGAATAGCATACTATTATAATCTCAGATTGATGATTTACACAGAGCGATTAGTACTATGAAATCTCACAAACGATGTTAATAAATTTAATTAAAAAATAAAAGTTAATTACAAGCATTTACTATATTTCTTTTTTTTCTCCCCTTTTTCAGTTTCACCATATATTAATAATTTTACGTGAAAAATGACTTAAAAACGGTGGTTTATACCAGTCTCTCCAATTACACATTTTCATCTAACAATGTATTTACATAAGCATCAACCCTGCACAGAATGCTGGATAATAGCTCAATCAAAGAATTTGAAAGGATTCAAGCTGTGTATCAATGTTTGGTTACTTCCTCCCCCCTCCACCTATTTCATAATAATATTCAACTGCTTCTTGAGCTTGCTTTTCAACTTTGACGAAATGAATTTAGCAGTTAATTTATCAGCAGGATCATCTTTCTTTAGTTGAGTAACCTTCAAGAACAAACATTTTCTTTAAACTGAAATTGTTTCTAACCAAAAGAGTCAAATAAAATTGAAGAATATATAAATTATATACCTTAATTATGGCACCAGAAGAACTAATCAATGGTTCTTTGGATGAATGCACGACAAACTAAGATTTTGCAAGTTACGTTTATTGCATGTTCTAGTTTTCCAAGAATTGAGTGCCTTTTTAGCCCTTTTTACTTCCTTGTACGAAGTAAAAAGGAAGTATTGTAATCGCGAAAAGTTTCAGGCAGCATATTTCAACGAAAATATCCATTTTGATCACTATCAAATGCAATTTAACGATGTTTTTACGTGACATCTGTACGTAAGGACAGAATAAAATACTCTTTTCCTTCAAAAAAATTATAAAACTGCTTTAAAATTGTAAAAAGGTTAGCTTTAAATATGTTCTTGGCCCATAGATGGCGCCACTGTTTTTATATTCTTCTTTAACTGTGCACTCCAATAAAACTACACTTGTGTTCCAAACTCCCAACAGGTATGTTGTGTATTATTTATTCTCATGCATGCAAGTAACCACTCTCTGCTATATTGAGTTTCTAATAGGTTATGGGCCCAGGCCAGATTAAGAAATGAGGATAAATAATCTAGTGTCTAGTTAAGTTAGTTTGTTTATTTAATTCTATTTGTAAATTTTTAGAATTACTTTAACCAAAATTGACCACATGGTTATGTTAGGGTTAGCCAAAGCACATGGTTGCAAAAGCTTAACTAGTACAAATATTTTTGACTGTTAATTATTTGGGCAAATGTTTCTTTGAGAATAAAATTAATTCAATAGAAAATTTATTTGAATTTATCTCAAATTATAATTTTTTTTGTCTCTTGTTGATTAAAGTTAAAAAAAGGAAAAAATGCCAGGGGGAGAAGGTTCATTTAGTCACAAGCAATTGAGTGGAAGAGAAAATTACATGGATTGGAAATTTTCCATGAAAATGCATCTTATTAAATTAGATTTATGGGCTTATGTAGAGGGTACAAAAGAAGATCCAGTAAAGGATACCAAAGCTTTGTCATATATAGTTGAAGGGGTAAGTGAAATTATTTTCAATGATATAAGGGATTTAACAAGTGGAAAGGAAGCTTGGAAAGTATTAGCTGAAACATATGAGGATAAGGGAATCACAAGAAAGGTTTCAATAATTAAAACATTAGTGAATACCCGTTATACTGATTGTAAGGATATGTCTGACTATTTACATAGGGTCATTTCATCTTATCAGCAGTTAAAATCTACTGGTGTTAAACCTGATGAAGAATTAATTGCAGGAATAATTTTAGCTAATTTACCTGATAGGTTTGAACCTCTTATAATGGCTTTGAAAAATTGTGGTGAGGCAATAACAGTTGACAATGTTAAAAATCGCTTGTTAGCTGAAGATTCAAAACCCCTAGTCAATGAAAGTAAGGAATACGCATTTGTTAATAAAAATATCGGAAGCAAAAGGTACTTTAAAGGAAAATGTTTTAAATGCAATTTGTTTGGCCACAAAAGCTCTGATTGTCAGAAGTCACCTCTCAAAAAGGATAGATATAATGAAAACAAGTTTAACAAAAAGTCTAATGTTGGATTAAAACATAAAAAGGGGGAAGAAGCTTATGTAGTGGAAATTAGTGTAGCTAATTCTAATCCACATCCCAATATTTGGTACATGGATTCTTGTGCTTCTTACCACATGACTCCACATAAAGAATTATTAGATGATTATCAGGATGCTAGTATTCATCAAATAAAAACAGGAAGTTCAGTAATAGAAGTAGAGGGTAAGGGTAAAATAACTTTCCTCTTATCTAGAAATAAAAAAAGGGAGTCTGTAACTTTTAGTAATGTTTTACACGTTCCAAAGTTAACAGCCAATTTGCTGTCCATTAAGTATTTAAATAAAGTATTTGGAATGGTTAGTACTTTTACAAGTGAAAGATGTTTTGTGTATGATGGTAAACATTTAGTTGCTACTGGAACAGGTATGGGAGATAATTTGTATTCTCTTGATTTATGTAATGAGTGGGCTTTAATTACTGATAAAAATATTTCAAATGAATTATTACACAAAAGAGTGGGCCATTTAAGTGAAGGAGGAATGACCAGATTAAAAGATATGGTCGAAGGTTTTACATTTAACGGAAAATTGTTAAATTGTGTGTCATGCATTAAAGGCAAAATGCATAGACAACCATTTCCCAAGGGAAAAGCTAAGCGTGCAAAAGAGTTATTAGGCATAGTACATAGTGACCTGTGTGGGCCTATGAATGTTACATCAATTGGTGGTTCTCGCTACTTTATTAGTTTTATTGATGATTTGTCGCGAATGACTTT